TGCTTCAAATAAACATCCCCTCTGGGTTTATGTTCGAGTCTGATACTTTTTTTTTTTTTTTTTGCGGTACGTGGGCCTCTCACTGTTGTGGCCTCTCCCGTTGTGGAGCACAGGCTCCGGACGCGCAGGCTCAGCAGCCATGACTCATGGGCCCAGCCGCTCCGCGGCACGTGGGATCTTCCCGGACCGGGGCACGAACCCGCATCCCCTGCATCAGCAGGCAGACTCTCAACCACTGCGCCAGGGAGGGAAGCCCCCCTGATACTTCTATTTGTTTAGGGTTTATAAGTTCATAGAGATTCTATTTGTGATGTGGCTACCGTCTGAGAACACAACAGGCAGGTGGCATTTAGCTCAGAGCCGCATGGAAACAGGTGCACTGATGTTCCTGACAGTGGTCCCCATAAGGACGGTGAAAGTTCAGCCCAGGGAGCCACTGCAAAAATGTTCAACAAATAATTAAATACACTGTCTATATTTTATGTTGTATATGTAATTATGTCTATAGTTTATATTTTATATGGTAGTATACAATAAATAGTGGTCACCTATGAAATACATTAATTTATACTAAATATGTAGAATAGAACAATAGCTCCCAAATCAGCTAAAAGAAACAATGCTAAAGACTGGTCTTGAGAGCCAAGGAAACAATGTCATTAACTTCACACCAGGATTTGAACTCTGAGGTGTTGCTGAACTTTCTTCCTATGGCTCCAGGCCTTGTCTCCAAAAAATGAGGGCCAGGCTTACAGGATGTGCTATTGACATCTGAATTGGAGCTTCCCCAACAGGGATATCTTTTCAGGTTTTGGTTTTCTCATTCCACAGTTTATATCTGACAGCAGCAACAGGTGTATGGAAAAGGAAACGAGATCCAAAAGGGCAAAGGCCATTTCCTTCTTCTGTCTTACGCTCTGGCTCGACAGGCAGCGTGATTACAAGCCCCTGGCATGAGCACTTGGACAGGCCACCCCAGCTGTCCTGAAACTTGGCTGCACGTAGCTCTCAGGCAGGTGTTTGGCTCAATGTTTCTGTTCAGACCCAGCCAGGACTCACTGTTAGCAGGAGATCCAAGTACCATATTCCCGAAGAACATTGGGCGGTATTCTGGCACCTATTATGAGCTGGATAAACAGTGGATAACAGTGCCTGCCTCTATTTCACAGGCTAGAGAGGGAAATAAATATCTAACAAGCCCAAAACAAACATAAATTATAAAATGTGATTTGTAAAAGGACTGAAAGAACAACCGAGAGAATGTAATCTGAGCTGGAAAGGGCTAGTAGGGTTTTTCTGAAAAACTAACACTGAACTTAAGCGCTGAAAGACAGGCAACCGACAAGGCATGGAATATAGGAAAGGGAATTCCAGGCAGGGCACGCTGGTCTGCCAGGGACCTTGGCAGGGGTGGAGGGTGGGATGGATCTTTAAACAAACAGAAGGAAGGCCGCCATGAGAGTGGTGTGAAGAGGGGGAGAAAGGTGATAGAAAGGGTCAGGACAGGTACGGAGTTTAGATTTATATAAAATACAGGGGAACACAAACCAGAGTGATATGACCTAATTTAAATTTTAAAAGAAAAATCACTCTGGTTGCTGTGAAGCAAACAGACTGAAGGGAAGTAAATGGAAATGGAACTCAAAAGGAAATTTTGATGATTTAGAAGAGAATGCTATTAGGGGAGATGCGGAGAAGTTAGAGTAATTGAAAAATAGCTTTGTAATCAATTAGAAGTGGGGGTGATAGAGAAAGCAGTATCAAGATCTACTTCCAGGTTTCTGTTTGGACATATAGGTCGATAGAGATGCTATGTCCTGGTGGGAAAACTAGAGGAAGAACAGGATCAGAGGCAGGGGAAGTGTATGGAAGGCCAGGGGAGGGATGGGATCAAGAGTTCGGTTACATCGTGTTCAGCTGGAAATACCTGAGAAATATCTCAGTGGAGATATCAGGTAGGCTACAGGATATGAGTCAGAAGTACAGAATAGGGTTGTGGGCTAAAGACATACATTTGGCAGTCACCAGCATGTACATGTTATTTGAAGCCATGGCTATAAAAGAATGTGAGAACATAAGAGAAGAGAGTTCTCAACAAGAGATGGTAGATGTTAACCAGAAATATTGTGGTGACCATTTCACAATGTATATAAATATCGAATCGTGTTGTACGCCTGAAAATAATATAATATTATATGTTAATTACACCTCAATTTAAAAAAAAAGTAAATGATTCAAAGCATATATCTTAATTCAGACCAATGAAAGCAAGCAGAACTTTTCTGTGGACTTCTGGGGAAGTCTGAGCTTGCTTCAAAAAAAAAAGAAGGTTCAGATCAGAGACACCGTAACAACTGGCTGGATAAAGCAGAGGAAGAAGGAATGGGAACTCGGGTGGAAAAGTCAGAGAGATAAGTAAGAGAAAGAGAAGGAAAACCAGAGGAGTGTGGTACACGAAGGCAAAGGGGTGGGGGAGGGGAAGTGTCAAGGAAAAGAGTTGTCCCTTGTCTTGAATTCCGCTCAGGAGTCTGCTCATAAGAGGGCTGAAAAGCACCCAGTGGGTGGGTTAGGCAGCGCCAGGGCTTTTAGTGGTCTTAACAGGAGCAAATCTGATGGAGTAGTGGAACAAGAATGGGAGGAATGGTGAACTAAGCAGGGGAACACACAGTACACTGAGAAAACTGTTTGAAAAGCTTGGCTATGCTGAAGAGAAACTAGCTAAGGCAGGTGCTGGAAGGAACTTTATTTTTAAATAATAATAATTTTAAAAAATAATAATATTGGCATACTGACAGTACAGGTCCAGTGAAGAGGGAGAGGCTGGGGGGAGTTCGGAACAGAAGGACTGTAGACCTCTAGATGGTGGGACGGTACCCTGGGCACATCCAAAGGGACTGGTATTTGAGGGGAAGAGAGCCTTCCTTAGTTGTGAATATGAGATGCTCTAATTTCTCAGTGAAGTAGGTGGTGAGATCATCTCAGAGCCAGGGGAATGAAAGTGGACTAGAAGTTTGAACAGAGCGAAGGTATGAAATAGGCGTGCTATAAAATGGTAGAATAACTTTACTTGAGAAACAGAGAGATGTTGCCAAGCAGTAATGGGTCTCTATTTGAGTTTGGTTGTCAAGAATATGCAGTAACATCATCCAGCTCAGTCTGCTTTCACTTCCCTCATTCTCCTCTGGAATCCCTCACCCAAAGCCAGTTTTTGCCAGTTTTCATATCATGTGATGACAGACGATAATCCCACCTTCCGAGACCAACTAATCCCCTAACAGCTGCATGAGCTGATTCTATACTTCAAGCCCCCAGCGTCCTCTCTCCTATGCACAGCCTCTATCAAGCCACCAAAACAATAATAGGAAGGATGGAAGTAACCTCCTCCTTGCTTGTTTCCACTCATGTTCCTGGAGTTCTGACTCTACCTTACTTAGGTCTGGAGAATATAACACAACTGTGCCTGGGAAGTGAGATTTAGCATTGACTCAACTTGCTTCACTTTTGTGTAGAATATGATGCTAATGACAGGTAGACAAATAGAATTTATAGGTCATGTCATATGCGGGCTACACAAAGATAAACAACTACATGGATGGGGAAGGCAGACAGGTTCACAGGGAACCTGAGACCCCATTCCTATGTCCCGTGACCTTTCCAGTATGACATAAATAGTAAAATACTAGTAAGCACCAAAACAAAAACATCTGATGCCTCCAATGAAAGTTTCTTGCTGTATCAGTGCGGAAACTTTGAAAACCATGATCCTCCTGTACAGCAGAACTAGACAAGCAATCCTTCGATATGGTTTTCAGCTTTTAAAGAAAAATATAACTATTACCCAAATGGATTCTTTACTATTTCAAAGTCTAGAGCTGGAAGGCACATACATAAAATTTAATTTGAAAAAGATGTGCATTTTAATCTTGATAAGCAGGCAACCAAGATATTGATATGTAGCTTTTAATCTGACTTCAATTTCTGACAATATCTTTTTGAGCTCATTCTCTGGCACCAAGATCAAATGCAAACAAAGAGAAGCCTAAAAAGGAAGCCACACTGAGCAGAAATCCTTTCCACATATTACCACTGGAGTTTACTCAAACTGAATTTCTTTTCTTTTTCTCAGCTTAGTGGAGAACGTGATGAGCAAGAAAGGAATGTGTTCAAGCTCAGTAGTTTTTCTTTCTCAAATTGGAATTTTAATTTTTAATTTAGGCTTAGTTCAGTTGTAACTAACTCAGAATTTGAGAGGAGAGTAAGTGAAATATTTTCCGAAAAAAACAGACAAGCAGAAAAACAAAAATCCCAACTACCACCCCGAATTCTAAAAACTGCAAGTAATTCTTCATACTCCCTAGGAGGTATCGGCTAACATTCAGGTTGTGGCCTGAAATGTGTAAGCGTTTCAAAAATATTCTTTTCCAAAATAAGTGTCAGCTGTGTTTCACAGTTTTCACTCAGCAGTGTGTGAGGATCCCCTGAAAACTGCAGTGCATTTGTCAAAGAGCAGTGCACTTGCATTGAAGCCAATGGCAAGGCGAGACAGATGAAATGCATGGTTCCCATTCATCGTTTTAATAAACAGAAAAATGAAAAGAAATGAGGCAACCATATTTGAATATGTTTAAGCCACCCTTACAGGGCAATGCTGGAAAGAAGTTCCAAAGTACTAAAATGATTCTTTAAAAACAAAGCAGGATCAGAAGAGCAGAAAGCCTGATTGGAAAAAAGCAATTCACTCAGCTCAAGCAGAAAAGGCTGCCATGAATACTGGCTCAAAAACTAAACAGGCTCTACTATCTTAGCATCAGCTGTTCTGCACCTGACAGTTCTTAATTTGCAACTACTTACCTCATCTTAAGACTTTTTTCCAGTGCCGCTGTCTCCAGGAACATGACACACAAATCCAAAACCATGGCGATTCATACAACATTTAAATTCAATCAAATGGAAGCACCATTTTGCCCATAAAATTTGTATCAAATATAATTTTCTTTTACCTTGGTCTTTTCACCAACAATGTTCTTTTCCAGTTCTGCTATTTTCCGGTTTAGATGATCCAAAATCTCCTTCTCTTTCATAAGTTCAGCTGTTTCTGATTTTTGTTCTCCATCCAAGAGAGCACATTCCATATCCAACTGAGGACACAAAACAAAGCTCAGAGGTGTTTCACCTTCAGAGAAATTTTCAGCTGCCCCCTTTAGAGGTGTATTTTTAACAGCTACAAATTGCAAAAAGTATTACCATTATCAGTCAGATTATGGAGCCCAGAAAACACTCCAGAGAACCCATGTGAGACTCAGGATTCCTATATGAGAAAGTGGAGAGGCCAGAATATATTGGCTAAGAACACTAGTTATCTTCTCATTTAATTTTTCTATGATAACCCCTTTTCTGCTTACTTCTCAAGGATATTTTGCCTACTCGCTTAGATTCAAGCTCAAGTGTGAACCATCTTGGGAGCAGCCACGTCTCTGTTTGTCCCTAGAGCATGGGAAATGAAAATTATACTCGGCCCAGCACGCAAGCGCTGCATTCCTAGCAATGCCAGCAGGAGGGGCTCCCCAGGGTCTATGCATGAGATGACAGGTGAGCAGTCCCCTTCCACACATGGGCTGACTGCATCATCTGTGAGTACAGACATGCAGATCCTTCTTAGGCAGAGTTAGCTGCTTCTTCTCATTCCATGGAGGTATTAAAAAATTGCCCCTTTCTTTAATTATGTAAATCCCCCCATAGTGCCAAGATGATACCCAACTCATACTTAACATGCTCAGAAAATGTCTGTTGGATTTGAACTTAAACGTCTAAATACATGGTACCTCAGCTGACAGATCTTGAAGCAGCTCAGAAAGCAGATACTAGTTAAGACAAAGTCGGTCATATATGACGCACATTAAAAATGGCTTCATATGTTCACCTCATTGGATGAAAAAAAAAAAACCCAGAAAGAAGAAAGAAACATTAAAAAAGGCATTTCTACCCCACATACGTACCCATTTTACACAGCTACAAATTGCTCATGTTGACCTCTATGTATTCTGCCCCCCAAGGCCTGTGCCCTAATAGGCATTGATATATTTAAGCTAAAGGAAAGAAAGAAAAATGAGACAGGGTAATAAGTGAACTTGTGGTTTATACCTCTCTGGAAGATTCCTCCATCTGGTCATTTATATCTTTGATTTTTTGTTCAAGTTCCTCGAGGTTGTTCAGAATTGCTATCCGGGACTCTTCCATCACAGTCAACTCCTGAATCCTTTGTTCTTCACTTATACCCTCTGGGGTCTGTGATTAATCAACACAGAAAAGGGCTAGTCACACTTCAATTCCAGAATTTCCCAGTTAATAAACCAGTCACAAGTCTAGCGTTTCACAGTCTGTGTCTATTTGGATTCTATAATAAAAGCATCCTTGTGATTGTTTATTTGGAACTCTGCATTTTCCCATAGACCCTCAGTACATAGGGGCTTAGTTTAGCTCCTACAAACCAACTTCAGTGTACAAATTCGCGTCCTTTTAAAGCCGAAATAACTAAGAGGTTATACAGAGGAGGAAGTTGTGGTCCACAGAGATTGTCAGGACTTCTCTCAGGTTATAGACAAAGTTCAGCAGAGCAGAGAACTAGAATCTGGACTAGACTTTCAACAACCTCCTCAGGGATGTCTCTTGGGCACGCTGCTACCTTCATCATAAGCTCCATACTCTCTCCCGTCTCCAAGTGAGTGCATCTCCTACCACAGTCTCTAGAATCTCTGTTGGGTCCCACTGCTAGGGTTATCTGCAAATGAGCAAGCACTCTTATTTATTTCCTTTCCAACACAAGGTGGAGAAGAGGGACATGGCATTTGGCCTCACCTCACTGAAATGTTTCCCAAAGTTAATAACCAGGACAACACAAGGCTTTATTACTTTAGTGACCCCCCAAATGATTTAAAGCTACACACTTAATATTAATTCATGTTTCAGTTTTTGCATTAGCACACTACTTATCGGTCTTTATCCTATGTAATGATTAAGACACTAACTGGGCCAATGCACTTTTGTGACATGAAATAGGATACTAGCCATTATTCATAAAATTATTTCATGGAAAAACTGAGATCCTTAACAAGGAATGAGAAAGTCAGGAAAGAAATTAAGTGAGAGAGGGCATACTTATACCCCGAACAAAGTTATGACAAATGCCCGGGAAAGAAAGGAACATTTAGATGATACACACAGCCAAAATATGACTACCAATTATTTTAAGAAGAGAATACAGTGAATTGAAAACAGCTTCTTCTCTTAAGAATTTCAGGCTAGTCGTTTTGGATATCACCTCGTGGAGACCAGTCTTTCTGTAAGTGAAGGGGCACCCGTATTGGTATATTATTTATTTAATTTTATCTCTCTTTGAAAAAGAAGTAATTTCTTTACACCAGTAAGTCAGTAATTATATAATTTCACAATTGGAAATTGGAAACAGCAGCCTAGTTAAGTAAATTATTGAACATTACTCACTAACCACGGAAAAGAATATTCAAATTAACTAAAGAAACCATTAACATTTTGTGTTCCTTACTAAGTTCATTTAGTGTTTAACAATCCTAAAGATTACTGTAACACGATAGGCATCATGTTGGATTCTTTATTCTTTATTCATATTCTTTATTCTTTACCCTACTTCGCTGCTCCTGAAGATTAAACCATTGAGAAGTCAAGTATCTCAGGTTGACTAGAACAAAGGTATGCAGGCCTTCCAAGCCTTGACATTTAGCTTTTGTTTGTTTTTTTGTTTGTTTGTTTGTTGACATTTAGCTTTTAAATTGTCATCTGAATTCCAATATCTTATGAACTAGTAAAACAACTGCTGACCTTTCTTCACATACAATGAATCTCATTGTCCTAATGCTTGGGTGCCTGTTTTAGGGCATGAGGAATGCCTACAACAGTGAATGGCATTCCTAAATCACTGACAAGTAATCCTAGCAGGAAAGCTTCAAGAAGGCCAGTATCCTGTCCGGTCAACATTTCATACTAGGTTTCAACTTCCAGCATGGTTTAAAAATATTCCTCTCATTGGTGGAAGCAAAGCATCAAAAGAAAACAAAAACTGAACGATCTGCAAAACTATAAAGATAGATAATAGTGGCAATTATAAGTATCTGTACAGCTCAAAGTTTCTAGAAAATTTATCACAATAGGTATGTTTAATAATAAACAACCTGAGAGTCTGTAGCAATAAATGTTATCTAGGTAATGACTGTTTTTTATTGTTAAGTTGTTTATAAAAAGCAAAATCTTCAAGAGGCATTCTAAACTCTGGTTTGTAATAGACTGGGATGAGGATACTGTAATATCATTTATATCCAAACAAAAAAACAATAGAGAGCCAAGGGTGTAGTAGCCACTGAATAGCTTTAGTTTATGGTGACAGAGAAAAGTGAAATTTTGATCTATCCGGGTTTTTTTTTTTTTTTTAATAGTAATGTATAGGGTACTACTGAGAGTGACGTGTTTTAATGAAAGCACATATATGTGCATCCCCAAATATTCTGTCTTTGAGGTAACTTGATACACACATACACAGAAAGGGGAGACAGTAGGGACAAGACAGTTTGCATCAACCTTTTTTCTTTTTCTTTGCAGATTTCTTCTTAGAAACCTCTTGCGACCAGAGAAGTTTACGAGTGTGAGGGCTTTCCACTGCAGACAGAATGATTACTCAAGAAGAGAAGAGTGGAAAAGTTTTCATCACAAGGGAAAAAAACATTTTTTGGCAAATACATGAGGTGATGGATGTTAACTAAATTTATTGCAGTAATCATTTTGCAAAATATGTAAGTCAAGTCATTAGGTTGTATCCCTTAAATTTATACACTGCTGTATGTCAATTATATCTCAGTAAAACTGCAAGGGAAAAAAAAAGAGAAGAGTGAGCTATTCTAGGCTTTCACCTCAGGTGGTGGTAGACAGGTTCACAAAAGCCAATTAAAATGAGCGTATTTCCAAGGTCATCTACATCTTTAAGTCTTAGGTAAAACAAAGTCTAGAATGGTAAATCTCAGGCTTCCTAAATATCATTAACATCTTTGTTTCATTAAACCAGCTCAGAGTGTTTTTCACATTCCTCTCTTCTCCATTAATCCTATGAACACTGTACTTTGTTAAGTAACTAATCCAGTGAGCAGATTACTCAAAGAGGAAGAGCATCTAAAACAAATAATCAGGACTTCTTTTTCTTTTTTAAGATTCTTCTGTCTTCTGTCTCGAGGTAACATATGTCTGTCTTCAAAGAGTAATAAATGAAAAACCCATTGCCTCTCAGCTGCACTCTGTCTAAGCTGCCGTGTGGTACCCAGAGGTGCCCTTGATGTTCCCTGTGTCTAAAGGAGGCACAGTCTTCTATTGCATGCCACAGGGGAGCTGCTCCAAGCTTCAAAGGCCTCCTATTTCACAAAAGCATACTGGAGCAATGAAAAACATCTGTCATGATCCACTTATTTACACCCAACAGCTTTCTTGTCAAAGCCCTCTTCAGGAGGAAACCTATTTCCCAAAAGTTAGATCTTAGAGCACACAGCTCACCACTTCAGCAAAAATCTGGTAGATCTCTGTGAAGGAAGAAAGGGAAAGAATTTAACACAAAAAGGCAGTGCAGGAAGCCCAATAGCTGATGACAACAGCTCAAATGTTCAAATGATGGGTCATTTACTTTGCCTGAAACCAACAACTTTTGATTTCTACCCCAGATCCTAGTTTCTAACAGTTGCAACTTTCTGGCAAGAGGGACAGATGTCCTATCAGAATTACTCTCCCTTGAGAATAAGTAAGGTAAACCTGGTCATTAGAAGAAAGAAGAATTGAACAGTCCAGAGTCCTGATGAATACAATGGGAGAACTCCATAGGTAGATAAGGATTTCTGACTAGGAACATTCAGTCAGAAAGTCCTGTTGCAGCCAAACAAACAAAAATAAAACCAAAGACACAAATCTCCCTGAATAGTACTCCCTGTGATAAACTACCTGCAGAATTTAGTATGATAACATCTTTCTCTTAAAGAATCAGTATGTGTCCTCTTATAACAAAAATCTAATTAATGTACCTTTTAAAATTTTTGGCTCTTCGGGCATGACTGCCAAGAAATTTAATGGTCAGGGTTACTTAAATAAATTAATAAATCTAATTTATCTTTCAATAAATAAATTCTTGTGACTATGGTACCTGCTTTTTCTCTTATTTACTGTTTTTGGTGTTCAGACTTTATTCTAATAAAATTGATGTCTTTTATTATAAGGTCTCTTAAGTCCTTTCTAGAAAACGGGTAGGGGAATAATTTCTTTTTATTTCATAGAAAAAAACTTTCTTAACCTGTGTGAAAAATATAGCACCAAAAGATCTTCCCTGAACTCCTTTTAAGAAATCCTCAAATTTGGAAGACACTTTTAGATCAGCAAACAACTGGAAAACTAAGCAATGATTATGACTACATATAAATGTCCTATACATTGAAAAAAAATCATTAATAAAGCCAAGGGGAAGACAAATCATGATAAAAGACTAATTTCCTTACCACAAATAGCTCCTACTACTGAATAAAAACAAGACAAAACATTTTTAAAAAATGGGTGAAGAGGAAGACAAGGGAGATCAAGATGGCAGAGCAGGAGGACGCTGAGCTCACCTCCCTGATGAGCACATCAAGAATACTTCTAGTGGGAAGACATGGAGTTCGCATCTCCCCACAACTAGGGCGCCTGCCGGTTGCTGGTGGAGGACCTCAACGCCCAAGGAGATGGGAGGAACACCTGAGCGACTGGGTAGGACATGGGGGGAATGAGGGGGGAGGAGAAGTGGAGGCTGGACAGGACCGGTGCCCCTGAGGGGTGGCTGGGAGGGGGGACAGGTTCCCACTCCTGGAGGGACCCTCAGGGGCTTGGAGGACCAGGGGGAGCACACCTAGCGTTTCTCCAGCCCAGTTGGGCCCCAGGAAGCCTGCGAGGCTCTCGGGCCAGGTCCTCCGCCTTCTGAGGCCCCCTCCAGGCTGCGTTGGTCCTAGTGGGGTAGGAGGGAAGTGGGGGGAGAAGAGGAGAGGTGGATGGGAGGGGGCCTCAGGGATCAGAGGACCAAGGGAGGCACACAAGGCATTTCCCCCACCCTCTCAGCCTCAGGAAGCCTGTTGGGCTCCCAGTCCTGGTCCTCTATTCTCCGAGGCCCCCTCCAGCCTTGTGGGCCCTAGGGCCGTGGGAGGGAGGGAGGAGGAGAGGCGGTCGGGGAGGGGCCCTCTGGGATCAGGAAGATCAAG